GAATACAAAATGCGTAGTGCTTTCCCGTCCAAAATATATCTAACCCTTGCCAATATCGATATATTCTTTGCTATTTTGTGCTGAACATATCTGATATGAGATTTCCAGGAGAATTTGTCATCAACTATGACACCTAGAAATTTAATTTCATGTACTCGTTCTATATTAGCTCCCCCAATTTTCAATTGAATTTCATATGTTTCATATGGCACCAAAACGCTGTGTTGTATCTCCAAACATGTCCTGATCACACACTTTCTCATCCAGTGATGTCACTGCACATCAATCAAATACAGTGCAATCTTAGCTGAAACAAAAACATTTTTTTTAGAGGGCAGAGAGATTCGTGAAATGATGCAACTCTGGGAACAGAGCACCAAGAACTGGTTTTGATTATGTTAAATTAACAATTAAGTCGGAAATCCCTCAGTGTGTCTTTCCAGCTGACAAATAGAAATGGACTGCATTTAAATCAGTGACAGTCCAGTGAGGAGCGCCAACCCCACTGCTGCACTTGAACACACTACAGTAACTCCCTGTCTTGGATCATTTCATAACCCTTGCAAAATGCTTCACAAGATGATGTTTCCTGCTCTGTCCTGGGCTTATCAGTAAACTTTATGTTGGATGCAGGGCAACAATTCCCAGACAGAAGGCCTGGAGAGCCATTACATGACTGTCTCAGCTACATTATGAACTGAAAACTCCCAGGAAACCTTCAAATGGTTCCCTCTAAGTCATTTGTGTAAAGTCTCAATCCATACGGATGCTAGTCTTGGTATCAGTTTGACAGTCTGCCTCCCTTATCCTGGCAAGACTGTGTTTCACAGCTGCAGTGAAAGGGGTTGATGGGATTTCAGTGTGTGAAATGAGGTCACATTCAATAAAGAATTAGCCCTCTCTACAACAAAACAGCCAGAGAAACCACTTTCCTATTCACATGCCATTCTTCTGCTTTTCTTTTTCATTTCCCCGACACTCTATTACTCCATCTCCCATAGCATCCAGAAGAATGTAAGGGCCGATACTGACCACATGCAGTGGGATCCTGATTTCACCATGATTAGCTCATTAATCATACACCAGGTGTTAATGAAAACATCCTCACAGCATTAAGAGCATGGTGGCAGAAAGAGTTCAGTGATGTGTGGTAGAATGAGGCATGTGCATAGGCATGTGCATGACTAAAAAGAAAATTGTGCTGTTAAAAGGGTCTTATTGAGGCTGGAAAAACTAATGGCTGTGTTTGATTGTATTATGCCTGTAGCCAAAGGCATGAGAAAGGGGAAAAAAGGAATGAGAAGAAGCTGGACAGGGAATGTGGAACTGAGCGGAGCCGTTTTGGGCTGTGTTGGACCATCCAGGATGACTAGTTCCAGCTGCCTGAAGTTTTATTTTGTGGTAAAGGTTCTGGAAGATCGAAAGGGGAGCCAAGCACTGAACACTGTACAAAACTAACTGCAGCTGGAGAGCGATAGAAAAGTAAGAAACTAACATTTTTCACTGGACTCAGATTAGAAGTGGGAGGGAAAAAAAGATTATTCAAAATGCAGCAGACTCTAGTTCCAAAAACACTGGCTCCTACATTACCCATGATGCAATTTTTTACAAATAACACTATATAATAGTAGAAATTGTGTATAATTATTTGTATGTACAAGCTTCTTTCGTTATATGATTCTGATACTGATAATGAAGGGAAACCATGAGTAAATGTAATAATTCTATGTGCTAAAGATCCCTGTTTTCCTTTTCCTTCTCCATCTGTACAGTGTGTACAGTGCATCTGTCCCCACTAAAGCAGCACACATATACAGTAAAACTATTGTCTTGATCCTATGTGACAATCACTAAAGCTGGTTCTGATTTCCTTGCTTTGAGTCAATGCTGCTCTTTTCACAACAGGCCACTTGACAAATTCTGGTGCCAAATGTTACATAAGCTGTTGTTTTACAGATTAAGGGAAGCAGTAAATATTATACTGTACTCCAGCTGTATGTTGGAGTATAGTTGTCATTTACCAATCTCATTTACTGTTCTGGTTTTGAACAGTGGCCCGGGCTGAAATTTTTACTCCAATGCCATAAACAGGGGCTACTTCTCTACATTTTCACTGCAACCACTGTAAACTAAGAGTCAGGGATGCAGCATGTCATAAGACTTACTGGCTAACACCTAACACTTAAAGAGCTTAAAAAGAACATAAATGTAAAGTCACACACCAAGAGCAACTCATATATGACACAAAAGCAGACCAAAGTATTCTGAATATAAAATGATTAATATAGAGCCACACATGCTAACGCAGAAGCATCACCAGTCCCGCACCCAAAAACAGCGAAACAGAGCCCACCACAGGGAACAAAACTGGAATTATGGACTCACACCCAAACCCCTGGGGGAACCATAAAAGACATGCAATCAACTGTGCTTCAGTATTTGAGAGGAGACAGTGACATTTTCCGCTCTGGAGCATCATGTGGCACATCAGAGTGGTGCTTAAGGCTACATTTTCAGACAATAACAGGGCTGCCGCTGTCAGCATCTCCCTGGACTCTGCTGAAATATGACTGCTCCTAGCCAATGCTCTCCTCATGTTGAGCTCTGGTGGAAAAGCAGTTGCCTGCAGCTGTGAACAACAGAAGGCCTCACCTTACATAATTCAAGTTAAAGAAACTGTTGAGGACTCATGCATGCACAGACAAAGCATGTGCATTAATCAGTGGGTGATGTCAAAGCAGCAGCTTGCAGCTAAATAAAAGAAGCTGAACAAATCTAGACTGAGCTGATCCTTGAAAAACATTAAGGTTAATCTATAGTTTCTGCATTTTACCAAATAAAATGTCCCATCATCTTTTGGGCTTTCATTCCTGAACCTCACCCTGTTTGGCCCCCACATACTATATGAATTCCCTTTGGATGTTCTGGCTGTGTCCAGGTGGGGGCAGGAGAGTGCTCTAGTGAGCACAAAGCCAAACATCTGTCTTCATCTGAACCTGACCCACAATCACAGAGGGTGGACCGAGTTCACTGTGTTCCCTCTTCTGAACTAAAAGAAATGATGCATGGGATAGAACGTGAGACTGGTGCGGTTTCAAAGTCATCACAACAAGAACAGCTGTAAATGGGGTAAATTATTGCTACAAAGGGGATAAACCTTGACAAAATGAATGGCACACATTCACATCTTCCTCTAGTTCTCTCTCACACACACACACACACACACACACAATTACTTGCAGCATGAAGTGAAAGTAGCCCAACAAAGGCTTATTTTGATTAGTATAAAGCCCCTGATTACAGGGCTGGTCCCCGTGAAATTTGCACTTCCTTGGCTTAGAACAGCGTGGCATAAAATAAACAGCAAAAAAAAACTCTCATTATTTCTCCTTACCACCACGGACACCTGATAAAATCTCTGTTTGCCCTTTGCACCTCACACAACACTAAGCAGCTTAAAGAAGAAAAACAATAGTCTAGCTTTTCCTATTTTTTTCTGGTCAGATGTCTGCAAAAAAAAAAAAAGAGTAGGAGAGCCCCACAGAGTCTGGGAGTCTCTGGGAGGTCTGAGCTCACCCTGCATTTTAACATGAGCTACTTTCACAACATATTTTGACAGTCACCCCTGAGCTCTGAGCTCTGAGCC